ACTAGTCTGTTGAATGACGGTTAGTTATAATTATTGTTACATAAATCTTTTGCATTTTGACTCTCTCTTTCGTACTTTAGCTTTTTCTCTCTCTTTCTTCTCTCACCCTCTCACTCCCTTTCTCTTTCTGTATTTATAATGAATATGGAATAACTAAACCGAAGACGGAGAGAAAGAAAGGAAGTGAGAGAGAGAGAGAGAGAGAGAGAGAGAGAGAGAGAGAGAGAGAGAGAGAGAGAGAGAGAGAGAGAGAGAGAGAGAGAGAGAGAGAGAGAGAGAGAGAGAGAGAGAGAGAGAGAGAGAGAGAGAGAGAGAGAGAGAGAGAGAGAGAGAGAGAAGAGAGAGAGAGAGAGAGAGAGAGAGAGAGAGAGAGAGAGAGAGAGAGAGAGAGAGAGAGAATGAGAGAGAGAGAGAGAATGAGAGAGAGAGAGAGAGAGAGAGAGAGAGAGAGAATGAGAGAGAGAGAGAGAGAGAGAGAGAGAGAGAGAGAGAGAGAGAGAGAGAGAGAGAGAGAGAGAGAGAGAGAGAGAGAGAGAGAGAGAGAGCAAGAGAGAGAGAGAGAGAGAGAGAGAGAGAAAGAGAGAGAGAAAGAAAGAGAATGAAACAATAAGAGAAAGAGAACGAAAGACAAGAAAGACAAGAAAGAGAGAAAAAGGCAGAGAGAGCGAGAACTTATACATTTAACCATATTTACATAAAAAAGCAGTATTAAAAACCAGCCTATAACCCCATCCCACCCAAAATACAAGAAAATCATCTACCTAACTAACCTCCCCCACTCTCTCTCTCTCTCTCCTCACGCTTTATAGGCCCGATCCCTCGGTCTCTTCGGGTCCCAGCATCAGTGGCTCTTCGTCATCCCCAACACCCACGCCCTTCGCTACGACATGGACTCTTATTTGGCCAACATGAAGGACGGAGACAACATGGCCTTCGTGTACAACATGTCCGATCTCGCGCCCACCGTTGAGTGTAATGTGAGTGTTGTTGTTTTTTTTTTTTTGGAAGTCGTGTTGTTGGTTAGATTTTGTGGTATTGTTGTTGTTGTTGGTATTGTTGGAGCAGTATTTTCGTCATCGTCATTGTCGTGTTTACTATTACTATTATTATCATCTTCATCTTCATCTTCATCTTCATCTTCATCATCGTTATCATCATCTTCATCTTCTTCATCATTTTGATTAATGTCACTATTCTTATCATCATTATCAATGCCCGTAAACCATACCTTTCATTCATATCAAAGAAGGCGATTTCCTGGAATGCAATTAATCGCTACTCATTGCCTCACGCAAAAAAAAAAAAAAAAATCTCACTTGGATAATGTATATTTTTTCATGTTTATACCGAATTGCAAAGACCTAAAAAATCGCATTAGCTAAGACTTAAAGATGAGACCTTCAATTAACATTTTTTTTTTGCCAAAGATCCCTATCCACAATCCTAGGAGGACACCACGTTACTAGAAGATATTGTTTCGACTGACCCTATATATACTTTCCCAACATGCGTCGATTTAACAGGGCAGTGATAAGACATGCCTCGATGTGGCTACGATCTCCGGGCAACATCGATACTGGGTAGTTTTTATTCAGTAATAACGACTTCGTTACGCAAGTTGACTTAAATGGATGAATGTGGTCCGTGGCGTCCATTTGTTATGCGTACATTGTTAATGAATGTCAATTTATACATGTTTGGTAGTACAAACAAAGAAAAAAATGTTTGGCTAATTGAAATCGAAAATGGGAGTCTCCTCAGGGTCTTGTAATTATATATATATATATATATATATATATATATATATATATATATATATATATATATATATATATATATTTATATATATATATATATATATATATATATATATATATATATATATATATATATATATATATATATATATGTGTGTGTGTGTGTGTGTGTGTGTGTGTGTGTGTGTGTGTGTGTGTATGTATATATAATTTTACTAGCTACATTTTTTTTTTCTTATGCATCATTTTAATCAAATTCTGGTTCAACTAAAGAACAAAATAATTTTCAAAATCAATCGTCCAAAATCAAATAGAGAAAGAAATGACACATAACCCATACCATTATGTATCTGATATGTATGAACCGTATGTAGAGGGGAAGTAAAATGCTCAATGGAATAGCCAAAGCGACAACTACCGACAATGTGAGTAGATAAAATATTCGCAAAAAATAAATGGCTCTGTTGGCTTACCATGACAACTTTGACAGCTAGCCGCTTGGTGGAGTTATTGACACCACCGTCCCTCCAGTGTATGTTCTGAGCATTTTACCCTTATGCACATATAATTTTATAGATTTTAATCAATTACATAACAGTGTGTGTGTATACATATATATAGGTATATATATTTACATACATCAATATGCACACTGTATACGACCGTTGACTAGATACATGTACAAACATGACTTGAAACATCACCCGCATTATGAAGAACAATATGACAGGTAAGGGTATGTT